TAGGACCTTTAGCTAAAACCTTCTTCTAAAATCTTTTAATGTGTGGATGAAAGGCTTTTAAATTAAGAATCATTTAGTCATAATAACTTGAGCATCTAGTGTGTGAGCGTCTGAATCTGATGTTTAAAATGTCTGCTTAGATAACATGGGAAATATTGATCTTGTTAATCAAATCTTGTTTTTATTCTACAGTTCGAGCAGGATTTATGAGTTCAAAGTGATTAATTGATCTACTTTCCTTTAGATCAGACACCATCATACTGCTGCCAGTTTGCATGCTTGCTGTCTTGCTTTAAATGTCTCTATCCATTTCCTCTACATGCTAACTAACCTCTCCATGTAATCAAAATACATATGTAAAAGTGTGTTTAGCACCACCTTGTGTCCTCTATTAGAATATCTCCACACAATCCTGAAGAACCACACAGCTCATGCTTGCGAAGGAGACACGCTCATCATCAAGTGTCCTTCCAGGACGTCTGTTTCTGTCCTGTCTGCTTTCTATGGACGACGTGTTCCCAATCAGTATCTCTGTCCCTCTGCAAACACCAACATGACAGTGGAGGAGGAGTCAGAGTGCACTTCACCTGTAGCTATCCAGGTAAATTTATAGTAAGGTGAATGTGAAGTTATGTATCCTCTGATGTTTCCATGACTCAGACTGTAGCATGATTTTAATACCATTCTTGCAGAAAGTGGTGTCAGAGTGTCAGGATCGACGGTCCTGTCATATCCCAGTCTTCAGTCCAGTGTTTGGGCAGGACCCCTGCCCCCTCACCAGCAAGTACCTTCTAGTCGCCTACAAGTGCAGACCAGGTAAGCTGCAAGGACCTAGACAAGACTTTTAAAGTAAAGGTCAGGATTTCAACGTTTAATCAGTTATCATCTTTCCATTTAGTTGCTTTACCGCATGTTTTGCACACGTCATTCTCCTCAGCATTGGTGATTTGACAAAATAATGACTGCTTTTTGAAAGCTTTTGAAAGGCTCCAGCAACAAAGTTTGCCCAGCTTTACAGCTACGGTGAACTCTTTAAAGTAAAAAAAACATCATATTTCATCCCCTCTTCATCTCTTTTTTATGTATTTTTTTTTACTCTTACACTAAGTGTAGCTGTCAGCTGAATGTGACATACTGTAAAGCAAATTTTTGGCCCAAAATGTGGAAGATCAATGAATAAAGTGGAGTGAAAAGAACACTTGCATATAAAGTACATGTTGGCTTACCAATCTGAGTTTAACTACTTATATATTAGACATACATACATTCCACCACTACATTTAGAGTTTTTACTGCACACTGGGCTAAGCAGATGATATTTCAGTGACAAATGATTGAAGTTTGCTTATTTTAATGAATGAAAAAATGTGGCTTAAGGAAGCTTTAAAAGGACATACAATCTTATATTAATGCACCAAAACATGCAAGACATTAGTACGATATTTTCCTTACAGTATCTTTCACTGGATGCTTATCAACTTTATCTGCTGTTATTTGTGTTGCTTTGTTCAGAGCACCATAGCACGAGACTGGTGTGTGAAAACGAGCGTCTGAGGCTGATGTGTAAAAATGAAACTGTCCTTGCGATCTACTCAGCAACATTTGGACACCTGCTGCACGGCAGTCCTTACTGCCCCCAGGAGCCGGGATCACACGCTGACATGGGTCTGAAACTGAACAATTACATGTCACCTAGAATGCAACAAATATGTAGTATATAGACAGAGGAGATAAATCATGCATAGAAATGATCTGTTCACTGATGCATCCTCAGTAAGATTATGTTTTGGTTTTGTTGCTACTCAGAGCCGAGATGTGAGACCAGGAGATAATTAGATTGATGACATGAAACAGATATTAACAATGCTCCATGTTTTCCCACAGAGTGTTTGTCCCCTTCAGCTCTGAGGAAGGTGTCACGCAGGTGTCATGGCAGATCTAACTGCTCAGTTCTGGCTGATACCCAAACCTTTGGTGACCCCTGCTTCTCTGGCACCAGGAAACACCTACGGGTGTCCTTACTTGTGGTGAGAAAAAAAGCAATCTGAAGTATCTGCTTGTTACTGATATGGTCTGAAGCATCATGTAATTAAAAAAATAAACATCTCAATCTCCTTCAGTGCCTCGGTATCTTCTGGACGATGTCGGTCGAGGTTCAACAGATCCCTTTATGATCACAGATTATACACACGGTGAGAGTAACACTGAGGGAACTCACAGGTTTTGTGTCATGAAGCAGACTTTGACTGGCGTCTGAGCCCTGGACCCCCTCTCACCTGCAGGTGGATGGTACACAGGCCCAGCCTACAGGCCTCATAACGTGCTCTTAACCAACTCTCTGGAGATCATAGAAAAAATGTTGGGTATGTGCAATGATGCCTGTAGACCTCGGGCTGGGGTTGCATGCACAATTTTGACCTTAATTGAAGATCAAATTTAAAGGACCAGCCAGGTTTTAAGTTTTAAATCAAGAAAATTGACCTATAGCTCAGAAAAGGCTCATATAAACACAAAGAAAAGGAATTTAATATCAACAATTACAAATTATTTTGATTATACTCAATCACATTTCATGACATTACATCATTGTTTCTCATGTGGAGCTGCCTGTTACTGTGCATTTGCTGTATCTTTAGTTTGAACCATGATCATGACTTGCATCTCTTCCAGGTCTCCCAGAGCGAGTAGCTCTGTACTTTGTCTCTGGCATCTGTGCCGGTCTGGTTTTCCTGCTCTGCATTTTTGGTCTGCGCTCCACGCTGGTGAAAGACGTGAAAGATCTGGTTTCTGAGTTGAACGATGAGCTGAAAGCATCTCGCAGACGGAAAAAGGAGCTCATGGAGGACCTCTTTGACGATGACATCTCAGACACGTCATCCTTCTGTCGCCTCACACAGTCCTACCGCACAGCAGACATCTTCAGCCCCTCCACCCTGACTGTAGAGATGGTCGAGCGTGAGGGGGAACAGACAAGAGATCTGCCTAATGGAGACATCTGGCCACCCCGAGACTCCAGCCCTTATGCCATTCATAAGATTAAAACCTACAACAACTGAGGGAATGTTTGATTGGAACTTTAGCATCCTTCTGCTTTGAATTTCATTTGTGGACTAAATTTAAAACTTTGTGACAATGCACCTTCCAGCTTTGTTGTCGGGGTCTAGGTAGTTTCAGTAGCTTAAGCAGTAGGAAAATGTTTTCACCCAAAGGAACACTTTATGCTCAGTTTGAAAATGAAAATGATCACAGTCAAAATGACAGAAACTGAAAAAACAAAGTTGCATCTCCTCCAGGTAAAGGTTGGAATAGATAACTAACAAGTAGGCTAATGTATTCAGACAAATTTTATGGAGTAAAATGTAAAATTACACAAGAGTTTATCTTTAAATAAAATAAGGTGGTTTGTACTTTAGTTTCTTTCCTGGTTCAATAAGGTTTAAATACACATTTTTATTTAAAATGCAACAATATTCAATGAATAATAGTGAGGGTGAAAGATTTAGACTTGCTAATTATTTCAAATATTCCTTTCCCTACCATTGTTGTTTCTTCGTGATGTAAAAAGATAGAGAGCAAATTCTACTGTAAAGCAAATCTTTATAAATAATAAAGATTTTGTTGGAAGATGTAAAGGAGTTGTGGTCTGTTTAAAGTAATGACTGGTGCAGAGTACTAGTAAAATATGACAAAATCTGCAATGAAATCATGAAAACCAGAAATATTTCCATAATAATATTTGATCACTGGTATATGTTGAAGTTAAATTTGAGACATAATTGACTGTAATCGTTTTAGTATACTACAACTTGGCCCTCTGGCAGTGAGAATTAAATGAATGTGGCCCTTGCTGTGACCACAGTTGCCCATCCCTGCATTAGAGGATGAAGCAGGTGGGGGTTTGGTGCCCATAAGCTGAACTCGGCCATGCAGCTAACTGAGCAAAACATAGAAGACGACTACAATTGATGCAGACTGACCCTTTTGAGATGAATTTAAGGGTTATAATTTTGATGCATTAATTAGATTATTTAGCCTATTATTAAGTCAAATCTGTAAAGTAAAAGTGTGTGTGAGAGAGAGAGAGAGAGAGAGATAGATAGATACTGAAGAGGATTAGGGTCACACATTATTTTTATTTTATTCTCAATTTTTTTTTAATTTTATTTATTAGCACACATATAAGAATACATCAAAATAGGATTAACAAAAACATAAAAGGTGTGTCAGGAGAGGTCAAGAAGTCAACAGGCTTATACAAGGGACCTCACCGCTTAAGAGACAAACAAATCAACTAAACAAATCGAATTACACAATTTCAATTTGACTTTCAATTTGACTTTAAACTCAGAATTCTCAGAATAAAGTCAGAACTCTATTGTTTTTTTTTAAATGTGTGGCCCTAATCCTCTTCCGTAGATAGAGCCTCTGAAGTTTTCGAAATTTAAAACAAACAAAAAAAACAGATAAACATTTTAGGTGCAGCAAGACAATCCCAGTGTTTTGAACACATGACACACACTCTTGATATTGATACGAAAAGGTGATGTCGCCTTCTTACCGCATGGTGCCAGCAGATGATGTTGTTCAGGTATGCGACAGAGGGTGGCGTTGTTTTATTCTCATCTGTGTTGCAATATCAAGAAAAAGAAGAAGAAGAAGAAGAAGAAGCAGAAGGAGAGGGAGAGAGAGGGACAGGAGTGGGAGGGAGTCCACATAGCTGCAAACTCTCTGCTACAACATTAGGAGCTTAAATCTGCCAGCCCGATGCATGTACAGGAAGAGAAGCCGGATACTTCAAGGCGTATGACAGAATGGCGCTATAACCGGGATGTTATAACATCCGGGCTGTGTTTGTAACCCGTATTTAACAACATCAACATCTGGCTAACAGGCTAACTGAACAGCTGTCACCCCGGAAGGCCGCCGCACCGGGTGGTGGATTTAACTTTCTCTCTCTGTCCGCGTCTCTGGACTGAGCCAACACGAAAGTGGCTTTTCAAATGATAAATCACTCGTTTGTTCTTCATCGGTAAGAATGGACTCCTCTTTAGGGATATGCGAAGAGGAGTGCTTGGCAATATCCTTTTTTTTTAAGAATTAAGTTCCAGGCGTTTTGCTTTAGCTCGTCGGCTAACGTGAGCTAAACGAAATGCTCTCTGTTACCGTGAGAAGAAAGCTGACTTTGTGGTTTTATTTTACGAAGACATACTTGAACCGTGATTGTGTTAAATGAACTAGCTGGTAACAAGTGAGGTTTAGGTGTTTTTGTAACCTCAGAGCTCTTAATTTTAGCACACTGACCATCCTAATACTAACCAGTCTGATAAATACTTGGAACAACTTGTGTGACGTCAGCCATGTTTACGTTTCATTTGCTGCCATTAACAGCCACCAAACTGCTTTCTTTATTCCCCCCTCACTGCCTTATGAATTTGCCACTTGTCACATTAATTTGCCACCTACTTTTTTAATCAGCACTGCTTCTGTAACACTGCTCATCACCTCTTTTAGTCCTTCCACGCTTTCCACACGCTTACCCACTAAAAAGAAGGCAAAATGATCAAGTAAATCAAATCAGATAAACGTGATAAAATAAGTGCTTGTGATGTTTAAGCACGTATCTCACGCCTCTGTCAACAACTATTCCTTGATTGTTTTGTTCACACTGTGAGAGGTCAGGAGCTGAGGGCTGGCCAGAAGGAGCCAAGACTACTGTCTCTTATTGAGCGCAGTGGTGAGTTTATGTAAGTATTAGAGTACCTGATCACTTTAATGTATACATTTTTTTTTTTTTGATAGATAGAAGGTTAACTTAGTTAACCTGAAAAACTTGCACAACATTTTACGTGATAGTCTGCAGCGTTAAGTTCCTTGCCCTTGTACTAGAAGCGTAGCTTGGGTTTTTTTTTCCCTGAGGAGTCTGTGCAACACCTTTTTTCGTAGGTCAATTTATTTGTTTGCTTCTCCGCCTTCTGCTGCCTTTTTATTGGCAGGAAACGCGCAGGTGTGCTGCTTTTAAGGCCAAATAAGGGTCAAGGATACCTGCTATTTGTAACATAACAATGAGTAAGGTCTTTTTTACCTACTCTTTTGTAATGTTAACAGACAATGAGTAAGGTATTGTACCTGCTTTTTGTAATGTTAACAGACAATGAGTAAGGTATTGTACCTGCTTTTTGTAATGTTAACAGACAATGAGTAAGGTATTGTACCTGCTTTTTGTGGAGTGTCTCGAGATAACACTTGTTATGAGTCGACGCTGTACAAATAAAGCTTGATTGATTGATCAAAAATAAAGAATTGCCGCCGTTAAAGGGTCACATTGAGTAAGAAAACAAAGGGTGATTTAGATTGCACAGTTTGATTATTGAGATTAAAGTTCGATCAGCGAATGGTGTTACATAAGCATTGTGTTGTTGGAGGCCGTTTGTGAGGCTTTATCAGAATAATAATATTAAAGCACTATTTAGCATTCTTAGGCCAGGTCAAGGTTTTCCAGTGGCGTAGTACTTGACAGTGTATAATAATGTTGCACGTTATAGTTAGAACAATGTTCGGCGTCAGGTGTCTTGTAGCCTGTCTTGAAGTAAGTTAATTGCTGCACGGATCAATGACTCTTAAGAGGAAAGAAAGTCGGCTACAGGCCTGTGGTGCTGTCATGATTTGGCTCAGTGTTACAGTACATAAGCAGGATTTTAACCCGGGTCTTGGCAGCATCAGCGTTTTTGTGAAAAGGGATGTTGTGAGTGACGGTGGTGGGTGTGTCAAATCCTCCCGAGTTGTTTGTGTTTGTGTAGCAGGTTGTGGCATGCCACTAGTGCGAGGGAGAAAGCTCCTACTAGCAGCAGGCAGCTCACTTCCACTTAAACAGAATTCCTCAACTTAGTCCTGGATGTAATGAGTCTCACATGGGCACACAAGCTCCGTCCTCAGCTGACTGTTAAAACCACTCGCACTAAACTCCAGTCATGAAATAAAGGTGCCGTCAGGGTGTAACTTGATGCTGTACAGATATTTACAATACAAATATATTTAAATTAACCTAGTGGAGTGGCTGGCCATTTTCCAAATCAGGTAGAATGTTTTGGCATGTAATCAGGTGCACAAGACAAAAGAGAAATACTTATGTGAAACTCCAAACTGACGAAGCTTGTTTTGTTTGTAGTTGTAACTTAATGTTCATTTTTGAGCCTTTGTATTTATTTATTTTATTTAACAGTTTAAATTTACTGGGTCATTGCACATTCATAACATTTCTGTAAATGTGCCATTTTAGCCATCATGGCTCATTTTCAACTGCAGTCCCCTGGACAGGTGAGGGACAGAACAATAGACACAAAAGCTACTTTAAGACAGAGCAGCAATACTGAACACAGTGCACGTATAGGACGCTTAAAACCGAGGACAGCAATAGTCTACATAAAAGAAATATACCAAAATGTAAGTGTTCGTAATAAGCACCTATCAGTCAGTGTTGGCAAGATTGTGCTTGTGATTAACAGAAAGTCAAGTTTTTCCTGTTTTGCATTATTATTATTTATCTTGCTACAATGCCTACCATCGCATTTCGTTGCCACTGATGCACAAACACTGATCTGCAGATGTGATAAAGGTGTAAAAAGAGCTGTTTTAAAGTTAAAGGCAGCATTATTTGACTTGCACTGGCTCAAATTATAATCTTAAAAGACCGCGTTACCACAACATGTGATTTTAAAACCCTCCATTTTCCGCCACAACATTCATGTCATAAGCAGGGCTGCTGTATTATTGGGTCCTTCTCTTATGTCATCCATTTTCGTGAGAAGGGGACACTCTCATCTGTTTACTGTCATCTAGCTTACTACGGTACATTAAGAAGGCTGATTCATGAGATCATCAGATCCTGCAGGGTTGAATCATTTCCCTCTCTTCAACAGTATTCAGACTAATTGTGCAGCGGAGGGGAAACGTGGGCCGTGCCCAGCGTAACTTTCTGACCCTAGCCGTGTTAGTCATCCATTGTTAGAGAGTGAAATATGACCCCACCTACATGTACGACCACATTACAGATTTCAAGCTTATTAAACAGACTCTTTAAGACCTGCTCTTCTGAGTGTGCTGCACGTTGCTACAGAAAACCTTTCAACAAAACATGACTGAAGCCGACCGAATGTGTCTCTTGAGTAAAGTTTACGTCATTGCTTGCTTCAAACTTTGAGTCTGCAGATCAGACTAAAAGAAACTACTGCATGTTTGCATGTGCATTTCAGATTGTTTTAATCCTAAATTCACATTTTAATCCTTTTAATTATTACAATTGAATTCTAATAATAAATTTGCCTATGTATTGCATCTAATATTTTCACACCCATGTCTGTGAACGAAACACAATTTTAAACGCGTAAGAATAAGCAAAAGGGGGAATCGTGTGTATTTGAAAGCCGATGTGAAGCTGAACTCTGTGCTCATCTCCTCATACAGATTACGTGTTTTGGCCACACCTGATGCCGTAGTGTCTCGTCCTGTGCCTCAGCTTTCCATACCCATCAATGACCATTTCCAAATTGTGCGAGGTACGTCACTTTTTTGTATTCAATATTAAATGCGCAGTTGAAACATTTTGGATATGTAAAGGATAATTCAATATTCAGGATATAAGCTTTTCCACGGACACAAAATTCTTAGATCCATTTGCATGATAGTGTTTCTGTTTCCTCTGAGTTTTGTCTCAGTGTTGTAAAAATTGAAAGTCGAGGGAGCCTTTCCTTTGCATCTGGTAGGCAAATTTAAAAAAAATCAACAGCACACAGAGGCCTGTTTTAATTTATTACACCACTGGTTTACTGCCACAATGGACCTTTGAACCGCATGCGTACTGTTTAACTTCTCATTGCTCCTTCATTTCAGAAGCTGAAGAGGCTCTTCTTATTAACTTCTCAGTTGATGGTAAGTACTGGCCCTTTACTCTCTGCTTTGTATTTGAACAGATCGTGTGAAAAATATTTGTTCTTCTCGCCCTTTGGAATGAAATGGGTTCATATTGTTGGTACAAAAAGAAGCTAAAACATGCTATCTATTAAAACACAGCCTCTATCCCACCTTACTACATTTTTAGAGCGGGCCTTTGGGTGAATGTCTACCATCCTTTATTTAGCTGCAGACGCTGGTCATGAGTTACCAGGGCTCCCTGAAAGAATGGTGAATTGTCTCACTATTAAATCACTCTGCTTTGTTTTCAAGACAGTCTGCAGCTCTAATGGGTGTCCCAAGCTTTAAAGGTGTCAAACAGGTCTGTGCGTTTTCTGTTCCCCTCTCTAGCTTGTGTTCGGGTACGAATCAAAGGACAAAAATCCCCAGAGCTGCTGCTGGACCTCCAGGATGATGAACGGACGCAGACTTTCCTGGCCCAGGTGAAGAGTGCTCAGCAACAAGGTAAGACGTCACTGTCTGTCAGCAGTCTGAAGCAGATAGATGATTAATTATTTAATCAGTCATCTAACATTTATTTACCAAGGGTGGATTACACCGCTCGCTGATTTCCTGTGTATTCTTGCCACACACACACACACACACACGGGTGGGTTTTTTAGAAATCGGATCCACCTTCGTAAAAGCAGCCGGAAAGAACCAAAGCTGAAGCCATTATGCTCTAATTTTATTAGTCTTATTTTAGCTGCGTAACTGACACTCTTCAAACGGAAACTGTTGTAACTGTTTGGATCCAGGAAATTAGTTATGAATGGAAGCTACTACAAGAACCGATGTGGAGAATGTAACAATTGTGTTAAGAATTGTGGCTTTTCTTTTAGTTTTAAACATTAAGAAAAATAATGTGATAGGTAAATATTTTTAAATCTATTTTTGTATAGATATATTCTGTTAACCTCAAAAAACAAGCCTGTTATTGTATCAGGCTGGAATATTAAGATGACTCATCTGCTGTGTTAAAGATGTCAGCATTAAAACAAAGAACGAATGCTTTATGTGTATTTAAGATCTCTTGTTGTTCTTTCCGTCTATTTTAAGGACACTGTATTGCTTACACTACATTTTTACACAATTGGTTTTTAGCTCTGTGGGTTGTGCTGAGAAAATAGAAAGAATTGCACTTCTGCATAACCATCTTTGGTTTAATAAGGCTGTCTTCACTGAAGTTGGAGTAAGATTATGTTCAGAAGATGAATTTACCATACATTGTGTTACTGCAGTCTTGGCAACCTGTTGAATGGGATATCTGTTCCTGAAACTATGGCAACAGTGAAGAAATCAACACAGAGGCGCATAACTTTACATAGGAGACGTTTGAACCTGTAAATTATTTTCTTTGTTTATAACAAAAATGCACACAACTTAGTCAATCATGGCTGTTCACAGGGGCAGATATCTGTTATGCATTAAATGTTATTTGGACAGGTGCAGTTTAGTTAGGACTTGGTGATAAATTGATTTGATTGATTAAATAGAATTTGTGGTTAAAGAAGTTAAATTCTCGATTTTCTCTTTACTTACTCTGCTGCTCTCCTCTGGATCTTGTAGTTTAAATCCTCCCCCCTTGTTTACTTCCTACAGAGCAGCTGAGTAGCCTCGGGTACAGTATGTGCCACCCAGCCACAAGTATTTTGCTGATCTTGCTCTTCCTCCTCTGTACTTTTTCTGTACCCCTCGAACTGCGTAGTAGTTTTACAGCTTGCACTTTAACACCAAAAGATACATTTAGGTTACTTAATTTATCCTCAAAGGGAAATTCAGTTTGCTTTTTGTTAGATTTATTGTTATTTCTTTTGTCATTTTATTTTAGAATCAAAAAAAAAAAAAAATCGTAAATCGAGGTTGGTATGAAAAATCTGCTATTTTATTTTTATGCCATTTTGCCCAACCCTAAGTTTAGTACATCTTTTTCAAAGGAGCTCAGCCTTAAAATAACATTTGCACTCACTGTTTTGTTCCAAGAAAGACAATGTAATGATAAAGCAGTTGTGGATGTCTTCAAATGGTAAAGAAAGAAATTCGCTTTAAGATGAATGGTTATGACAGAGTACACAAGATGTGTTGTGGTTTTTGACACTTTATATAGACTGGTGTCATACCGTGGTGCTTTAAGAGTCCTGTGATTATCTTTATTTAGGTATTTAGATATTTATTATCTTTATTTCAAGATAAGATCAAGACTTAAGAAAAATGTTTCATACTTTGATATGTGTGTTAATGGTTTTTTTTTTTTTTACTTTTGTTTTAGCTTTACTAACAAGCACCCTAAAGGAAAAAACTTGATGTCTTAGCAGCATCATTACAGGACATTGAGTTTGTATTAATAGTTTTTAGGACCTGTTCATTGAGTTTTAACGGGACCAATGTCAACTACTTTGAAAAAAAAAAATTCTACAATTTTCACACCCAAATGTAAGAGACTAACCAACGACATACTGAGTCCCCTGTAATCTAGTTTAAAAAGAAACACCTCTTAACTAGTCTCCTGTTCTTCTAATGGGCCCTACTGTGTTCATATTAACATTAAGTGAGGTCACATGAAACAGGGTAGCCTGGAAGAAAGGGGAAATATTGTAAATTTCTATCTTGAGAAAGCTCTTATAATTGCATTCATCTTTCTAAAGTTTTAGATTATCCATGTTAAGATGTTCATTATTGTGTATGAATCCTTTTGTACTTCTATCTGACACTGCTGTTTTTTTTTCCCAGTTGAATCCAAACAAATAAAACCCAAAGTGATGGAGCCTCTTGCACCAGCTGCCCTCAGAGGCCCAGTCCCCATCCCACCACAAAGAGCAAACAAGACTGCTAACTCTGTGGGCTCTGGAGTTAATGCACCCAAATCTACCAGTGCACTGCCTCAGAACCTCAATAATGGTACATCAACATATCATACTAAAGAAACACTATTATATGAAATCTGTCTTTCTGAACAGTTTTATTTTTTTATGTTTGTTTGAATCCTCTGCTTTTGAACATTCTCTTTTTGAAATCCAGTTCAATCGCTCGCCTCAGACTTTGGCTTTGAGGAGAACTTCAATCATGCTCTCAAAGTGGAGGAAAAGAAGAACCATCAGAATCGCCTAGTGGCCTCCAGGGAGCCTCCTCCTGTTCCCCCTTTACCTCCTCGCAAAGCGTCCTACACTCCAACCAATCCTCTGCCTCCCCCACCAGTCCCTAAAGACAGAGCTGTCTCCCTACAGGCCAAAGACAACTCCTTTATCGCTAGCAGCAAACCAGAGTAAGTCAACTCTGCACGATACTATGTCACACCAGAATTTTATTACTGCAGTTCAGGAATGTTGAATTGTCCGAAATAATCCTGATGCTGAGTCATATGTTCTTTTTTTAAAGTAGTTTTAGGCCTGGTTTTGACAGCGCAGACAGGCCGTCCTCATGGTGCGACAGCCCCACCACCAACACCATGAGACAGGCGATGTTCAGCAGCCAGGCAGGACAAAGAGAATACCTCATCAAACACCGGCTGGGAAAGAAGGAGAATGAGTACGTGGACATCGAGACCTTTAAGTAAGTGAAGCTGTTTTTCATTCTGTGTTTAATAAAGAAATAAATACATTTATAAAAAAGCTGCTCCTGTATACGTTTTCCCCACACATGAATGCTGCTGCTTCTTCTTTTCAAGGATTTTCACAGGAACGTGGAATGTGAACGGTCAGTCTCCTGACAGCAGCCTGGGGCCGTGGCTCTGCTGTGACACAGAACCTCCGGATCTTTATGCTCTGGGGTCAGTGAGATTTTTATCATACAGTGCTATTCTGACCTTGAAGTTAAACTCACTGTGTATTAAGGTGACCTTTTTTCTGACTCTAGCTTTCAAGAATTGGACCTTAGCACTGAAGCGTTCTTCTACATGGACTCGTCCAAGGAGCAGCTGTGGGTGGAAGCTATTGAGAGGAGCTTGCACCCAAAAGCCAAGTACAAGAGGGTGAGTAATGAAGGAGAGATTGACAGAGCAGCTAAGCCTTGGGAGATGCCCTCTGTGGCTAAATGAAAGCATATACCTTAAACGAATACTACTAGACAATAGGGTCTTTTATCATATCGATGATTTTTCTTTTTTATCTTTGTGTCCACACACAGCTTCGGATCATACGACTAGTTGGGATGATGCTTGTTGTCTTTGTCAAAAAGACTCTCAAGAACCACATAAAAGAAGTTGCTGCAGAACACGTGGGGACAGGAATCATGGGGAAAATGGTTTGTTCACTCCTAACCTTTGCTCCATATCTGACTATACATATACCAATAAACAACCTTGGAATTAAAGTGTGTTTTCTCTGTGTTCAAGTGCAGTAGCTAAGGAGAGCTAACAGCCTATAACTTCAACTGAAATATGTTTTTGACACGCACAGTTATTATAAGCTCCTTTTGTAATGTTTTTCAGTTTTTCTATACTGCACTGGGCCTCTAGTTGATTTATTTGGCTGAAACATGCTTCGTTATACTCTTCCCTTCATGTTTTTCCTCTAAATTAAATGAAGATCCGTTGAAATGTTAAGCTTGACAGCCTGTTGTCTTACATTTAAATGTTGTGACTTTACAGGGGAACAAAGGAGGTGTGGCAGTGAGGTTTGTTTTCCACAACACCAGCTTCTGCATCGTGAACTCCCATCTAGCAGCACACGTGGAAGACTTTGAGCGCCGCAACCAGGACTACAAAGACATATGTGCCCGCATGACCTTCCACTTACTGGACCACCCCCCACTAAGTATCGTCAAACATGAGTGAGTTCCTCAGTAACTCATTTCCAGAGTGAGAACATTTCTCTGAAGTTGTGTTTAACTCTAAACTCTAACTCACTTCTTGTGTTGTACTCTGTTATTTGATTTTACATGTGAGGGTTTCCAGCTTTCTGTAACACTACTAAATCCATTGTGTACTACAAAGCTTAAGCTCTGTTGTTTAGTCAGACTGAATTTGTTATTCATTCTCAAAAGCAGCTTTACAAACATGAGCTGCAGAAGACAGTTCTCTCTGTGTTGATCACAAAGTCATGTTCACTTCAGAGCTACTTCTTTTATTCTGTTGTTTTAAACTCTCTCTGTTTATTTTTCTGGTTTCAGTGTTGTAGTCTGGCTCGGGGATTTAAACTACCGTCTGTTCATGTACGATGCAGCCGAGGTCAAACAGCACATTGCTAAAAATGAGCTTAAAAAGCTGCAGGAGGTTGATCAGGTAAAAAACTGCTACCGTCATTCATAGTTTATTGATTTAATTGTTTCACATCAATGACCAGCAGTTAAAAGAAAAATGACCACCACTTCTTGTTTTCATAGTTTAAAAAGTATTTCTTGAGTGACTAGTTGTGTAATTAATCATTTTGACACAAGAGAATTTAGCACTTGGATGGGACTCCCAGGCTCTAATTCCCTCTAAAGAATAAGCTTGTTTGTATTAGCAGACTGCAATTGTGTTTTCCTCGTGAGCTTTTCTGTGACATAACATATGAAATGTTTCCTGGTAATTAAAGATTAGGCATATTGCAACCTTACCATTGTCAGACAGGTTGTTTTCTGTCGGTGGTTTAGGATTCTGTTTTGTCTTTTTCAACAAGTCAGACGTTTCAATCTTTTTCTTTGCAGCTGAATATTCAAAGGCAGACGAAGAGAGCCTTCACAGACTTCATGGAGGGAGAAATCAACTTCCTTCCCACATATAAATACGACCCCAAAACAGATCGATGGGACTCAAGGTACGACAATATACTTTGTTTTTTATGATCAAAATACACAAACTCACTCCTGGCTCTGCTTTTCTAATCCTATTGGCAACTTGTCTGCAGTGTCTGTTTTTCTGCTAAGGGATTCTGATTAAATTTGTGCTTGTAAGGAAGCTTTTTCCAGCCTAATCGTAACACAAACACAGAGTCAGCAATACTGTACAGTATGAATGTCCGAGGTCTGACCTCTAACTTTTCCTCTGAAACTGTTTTCCCTGCAGTGGGAAGTGCCGTGTCCCGGCTTGGTGTGACAGAATCCTGTGGAGGGGCAACAATGTCAAGCAGCTCAAATACCGCAGTCACATGGAGCTGCAAACGAGCGACCACAAACCTGTCAGCTCCCTCTTCAGTGTCGGGGTATGAAGCTATGTGGTCTAAAAAGAAAACCTTAACACACTGATTTGTTAGAAAAACGATATGTCCCGCTCTAATTTACGACTTTGAAGTAATCTCTTTTTTTTTTAACTGTTTAATAAAACCATTGGGCCTTATGTGTTTGAAATAGGTTAAAGTGGTAAACGAGGAGCGTCACAAGAAGGTGTTTGAGGAGATCGTCCGTGCTATGGACAGAATGGAGAATGATTTTCTTCCATCTGTATCTCTGAGCAGAAGAGAGGTATACACAAACATACACATGACTCATTATGTTTCCTTCCCTGAATGGTATTATCTCATGCACTACTGTTGAACCAGTTACCTTTTACATAGAGCAGCCTGTTGTATTTTATTATACAATTGTTTTCGAGGTCCTGTTAATCTTTCATTCATGAGCCTTTCTTGTTTCATCCTATAGTTTACATTTGAGAGTGTAAAATTCCGGCAGCTTCAAAGGGAGCGCTTCATGATAACTAATGACGGGCAGGTCCCCTGTCACTTTGGCTTCATCCCCAAACTCAATGACTCGCAGTATTGCAAACCTTGGCTCCGGGCCGAGCCCAGCGATGGATTCTTGGAGCCAAGTAAGTCTGTTTTTTTTTATATCTTAAACACTCCTTCTTTATTTGACCCCTAGCACACTAGAGTAAGAACTTTGATCCTTCTGCAGTCACTGCCCTCGGCTAACTGTAGCACTGACTAACTAGATCGCTCATGTTCTCCTTTCTGAATTGTGTGCCTTTGTTTCTGTCCTGTGTGTTTCTTTGATGAATATGTTTTAATTGTTACTGTAGAGACTGTGGAAACATTGTCCCGCTTTCTCCTTTTTATAATTGTCATTGGCTTGTAAACTCTATCCTCATAGGACTATTTGTGAATAAAATAAAAAGGGAGTTTTTACATGTAGTTATATTCTATTATTGTAATTACAAATATTGCAAAGCACTGGGCTATTAGTCCCTTCTTGAATTGTTGCAATATAACCATCAATGGTTCCACTTTCTTTCTATCCGGTTTGCTAATGAGTCGTTTCTGTTCGTGTCTCACTCACTCATGATTTCATTTTCTATGAGCGAGAAAATCAGTTCTCAAAAGCCAAAGATAACAAACAAGGAAGCATAGATGTATATGTATTTTCCATGTCAAATATTGGTAAATGGACTGAATTTATAAAGCCCCTGTCTGGTCTTCTATGTTGCATTAGTTTTATAACATCACTCTTAGTTTGTGTGTAATCCTCTAACATTCTTCTTCCTCCTCTCTTATCTTCCTGAGCAGACGAGACCCTGGAGATCTATCTTGATGTGTATGTCAGCAAAGACTCGGTCACACTGCTGAACTCAGGAGAGGACTCCATAGAGGACATCCTGGTGCTCCATCTGGACCGCGGCAAGGACTACTTCATTACCATCTCTGGAACTACCTGCCCAGCTGCTTTGGCACATCACTGGAGACTCTGTGTCGCATGAAGAAGCCCATCAGAGAGATCCCCATCACCAAACTCATCGACCTGGTGAGGGAAGGCTAGTCCAGCAGCCATTATAAAAGAGAATGCTGATCTCAGCAATTAAAAATTAACAGGGGCATATTTTGTTTTATTAGTTTACCTTGTGATTTTTAAACTTAAACATTCATCAACACAGATCAGTTAGGCTCACATTTTTTCTCACTCTTAAACTATTCACTATCTGAAACCTGAGCGGGAACCCGTTAGGGCTTGCTCTCCCCCTCTGGGTAAACTCAGTCACTCAGGGAGGCTATATTTGGAGAGCTTAAAATGTCTCAACTTGTGTATTTCTGGCCAAGAGGGGCAGATAAAATGAGGAAGTGGCAAAAACATGGGAAGGGACCTCCCTAAAGAAGAGTCAGTGACTCAGGTTTAGCACCTCCTCTGGTCTTAACATGTTCATCTCTGTCCAATTCTATATTTCTATTTTTGCTTTGGAATAGAGTGCTACGGTCATTTACTGCTCCTTTATTTCTGTGTTAACTATTGCATTCATTTTCCTACTGACTTCGGTGATCTGTGATTCATGCAAGAACAATCCATAATCTATCTACTTTTCTTATTCTATGTTTCTTCATCCTTCTTTCGACTCTCTTCTCTGGTTTTCCCTACATCACCTCTTCTTGCCTTGATCATTCCTTTCCCACTCTTCAACACTGTGGTTATGGGCTGACTTCTTGCTCAGGGAGAGGACAACTACATGGAAAAGGTAAACACTGATACCGATCAGCTATTCAAACAGCGTTGTTATCACCTTAGTAACAAGACCTCTGCGATCTGCTTTATGACCCTTTTGCCCATGCCATAAAATGAAACTGGTTTAAGTATTATTGGAATCAGTCATATCAGGATATGTCAACAGAAGAGCCAATTTATACAACATCCTTTTAATGTGCAACCTCAACATTTAACATTAACAAACCAAAGTATTTATTCACACTTTGATGTCCAACATGTATAGAAAAATACTTGCTCAGTTTCTTTTTGAGAGCTGGGAGGCATTTAGTCTAGCTTCGCATGAAATGTGCAATCATAGGGAACTAATCAGTGTTCTCTCTGAAGCTTATAAGTATGATAACAAAAAAAAGCTGTAAGAAGGTGTTTGGCTTGAAACTGGCCGAGTGATCAAATTAAGAAAGTGTGTGTTAATTGCAGCCCGTTGCTTCGGCTCCAGTTCTTAGCTCAGCTAATCGCCTCATAGCTCTAGTTCCATGCACAGCAGCGTAACCAACTCTCTAATCTAACCCTTTTCAACTGCAATATTGCATCCTGACACTTACCAGCTGTCTACCCAGTCTAGGTTTCAAAAAGCTGACTAGGGTAACGATTCGCAATCTACATAGAACTCTTTACAGACATCCACAGTCGATCAGAGACTAGAACCTTCCAGCTAAGTTATAATCTGTGTGTGAGAACCAGTCACACGTTAAATCTTCCCTGGCCAACTGAGGACTGGGTGCTCCAGTTCAACACACCAAAAACATGATCACACTAAATCTCATTTCACAGTAGGTCACCCTCTCAGCACGGCTCCTTCATTAACATGATTAAAGCTAATGAGAAGAAGTTTAAGGAGCTGCTCGGCTAGGCTCAAACAGTCCTCTGAAGCCAAACGACGAGTCTAATCCTTCGTGTCATAAACTGTTACTGATCAGTGAAACTGAATATCTGCATGAGTGACTAAATATCCACTTAGACTTTCAATCTGGCCCTGTTACTTTACAAAGAAGCACATTATTCTTTTGTTTTACATTAAAGCTCTCCTGTTCTTAAATCTTGTCCTTGAAGGATCAACACCAAGCTTTGTGTGTTTAAACATTTTACCACATTCTAAAAGTAGCTCCGCAGGTTCACGTTGTCTACAAATAAAGGCCCACTCCGGCTTTCCCAACATTTATGAGCAGCTTAACTATGTGTGGTTATTTTTGGAGGTTTTCTGAGTTTCACATCCATTTGCGGAGATAAAAGAATGTTCCATCCAGCCCTTAAATGGCTCTCTTTCAAGTCTTCAGACCTCAAGGATAATCCTGACCTCGCTTTTGCTCCTGTCCTCACTAATTGATCCTATGTGTCATATGCACTCACTATAGTAGTCTCTATTAATCATATTAATGGTAATGGTATGTCTGGACTCTGTACCTGCTGTGAATGAACACATTATTATTAGTAGAATTGAAAATTGTTCCAGGAAACAATCTAATGTCTCTGCTCTGATTTAACTGTCTTCTCTCTCATCAGGAAAGGTCAAAGGTGAGCTTCCTGATGGTGGATGGTGCAAGCACGGAGGACGTACCTCTAAAGATCCCCAAGGAAGTGTGGATTCTTGTCAACCACCTTTTCACCAAATCCTGTGATCAGGTGAGAAAACCACAGATGATAAAGTACTCAAAGTTACACCAGAGTGTAACAGCTTGTTGTTGAAAGGTGTGTATAAAGTTATAGAGACAGGCAGGTTCATGGGTCCCCCTGATGGGAAGATACTTTTCTTGCTGGTCTGAAGACAAAATCCATTTTTTATGTTATTTTTCTCAGTTTTTATATTTGTAAGGAATAGTTTATCTTAGTTAAATGTCTCCAATCTCTAATGATTTTTTCTAACCATAATGATACTAACAAGACTGTTGGATCTGATTGATGCCTTCTGTATTTTTTTGCTAATGTCTCCTAGGAGGACTTGTTCCAGACTCCAGGCCTACAGGAGGAGCTGCAGAGCATCATTGACTGTCTGGACACCAGCATCCCGGACACTATCGGTATCCTTGCTTATGATGCTAGGCCAAAAAAAAAAAAACAGCTCTCATCACACCAAGAGCCAGATAAGAGTCACTGAATAACTACAGAAAAACAAAAAAGACACACATTAGGACAGTGAATACATTGACAATGTATGTTTTCCTAAATCTTCATAATCTTGAATATAGGGCCTTGTTGTCTGTTTTTAATTGTCTCTCTACTTTATTTGCTGTTGTAAAGCACTTTGTTACTTGTATAGAAAAGTGCTATACAAATAAAGTATTATTATTATTATTGATAGTTATCCAGTGAAGTCTGGTTTCTAAAACCGAATCCAGCATGTGAACCATTACTGTAATTAGTTAGGAACACTCAACAGGCACACCCTGGACACCATACTTCCATTTTATTTTCCCTAACTGTTCATGCAGTCGGTTGTAACCACTCTGTAGCCGAGGCTCTGCTAATCTTCTTGGAGGCCTTGCCGGAGCCTGTCGTGTGTTATGAACTCTACCAACGGTGCCTAGACTGCTCTCATGACAGCCGCCTCTGCAAACAGGTACAGGGACTAAATGTTAAAGTTACAGAAAGACAGTTTGGCTTTGCATTACCGAAGGATATTCTTTGTAACGCAGCGTAATGTGTGCAACTACTCTTTTTCCCTTGTTGACAACAGTTGATCTCCCAGCTGCCCCGGGCTCACCGCAATGTGTTTCGCTACTTAATGGCCTTTCTGAAGGAACTTCTCAAGCACTCGCACAACAACAACCTAACCGCCAGCCTCATAGGTATGACATGTAAACATCCTGTCTATATGCTTACTATGTTTTATAGCTCTTTAAAAAGCCTTTTTAAATACTTTATTACCCTATCAGACAAGATCGCACTATTACCGTGTGTGGATAGATCTTTTTTTTATGTGTTGCAACAATTTTTCCTGTTACAGCAACATAAGCTACTCTGCCATACTTCTATAAAAAGAGGATGTAAAATATCTGACGTTTTTTTCTAGAACTAGAGACTACGTATGCACTGAGAATAAACAGCGTAATGCTCCACAGAAATGACTTCAGTGATTTCATCTAAAGTTACACAAACTGTGAACTGAAATATTTTATGCCAGTCAGGGATATTAACACATTATTCTAACAGTCATGCTAAATATGTTCACAAATCAAAAAAGCTGGATACATTGAAAAAAATGTTTTAGTAACAAGAGGATTTTTTACAAGACATAACACTTTTTCTTGATAGAGGCTATATTATTTGTTTTCTTAACTCTTTTGTCCTGCTCTTGTATTTAAGCGACCCTCTTTGCCAGTCTCCTAATCCGACCGCCTCCCAACCTGGTGGCCAGACAGACGCCACACGACCGGCAGAAAGCCATCGACTTCATCCTGGGTTTCCTCATGGCGGGAGATGAGGAGTAACATGGCGAGGAGTTAACGGTCAGGTTTTAGTTGATTCCTAGCCTGACTTACTGATGGGAAGAAGAAAAAAAAAACCTGACCTGGACCTGTAGGACACTGTGTTACATGATCCTCTTGGTATTCTCTCATTGGTTGGACACCAGTGCAGCTTCATTTGCACCCTACCTTTCACAAACTCACAAGTGGCATACCTTCAGTTGATTTACAGTTTGTCTGCTAAAAGGATTTAGAAAGCACTTGGGAAAGGTTTGAACTGACGAGTCCGAACCTTCTGATGACCTGAAGGCCTCCAGACCTCCGCTGACCCTCCATACTGTAGGTGTTCATGCCAAAAATACATCCTGAACAGTGAGTGATGTGAACACTATGTTTCCGTAGATAATAAGCAAAAGACTTGATTACACTAAAGAAAAGAACGGTTTTAAGATGTAGACTGAATACTAGTATGCTAGTTCAAGCATTAAATAGTTAAAAATGGGATAATCAAGGAAATCTATATACTAAGAATGTTTAAGCTTAAGATAAAGTATGACAATCCTCTATTGTGCAGCATTGTAACGGAGGGGTCTGATTTTAAGATATCTGTATTCTTTGTTACCATTTCCTTTATATTTTAACTGTTATTTATGTTTTTCAATTTTTGAAAAATGTTTTACTTCAGTCAGCTTTATTTTCACTTCTGTATCTGTTTTGAAATTTTCACCTGAAATATTGATCACGTTTTTTTTTTAAATCACCCTGTCATAGAGAAGTCTTCTGTCGTGAACTCTTGCTGTGTTTTTGTGTAACTTTTGTGTAACTTCCGCCGAGAGCCTTATATCTTGTTTTGCAAGTTTCCTCTTGAGTTACAAAACGTGTCTGTTAACACACTAACTTCCTGCTCCACCAGAGTCGCCCTCTGTGGTATCTTGATGTCTTAAGTGGTGTACAAAGTGATAGTTTCCCTGTTTCATGGATATTTGACTGTCGGTATGGTGGTGAAAATCTGTGATGGTGTCTGCTGTTTGTCATGAAGGTGGTATTGTGATGTCTGTGTTTGTTTACGTGTATTCTTTTTTTTTTCTTCATGCTCCTTTTTCCATAGTTTTAAGCCTTTGTGCTGCTGTGACACAGCCGCTGTGTTCCTCATTTTAAATGCAGATGAGTAGCACTCTTTTTTTTTCTTTTTTTTTTTTAAGCAATGCAGCATTTTTTGGATGCTGGTTTAGCAAGATTTAATGGCTCATTACTCTGCAGGATGCAGCCCATCTTTGTGCACCTTTTCTCATTAGTGCCACAGAGGATTTGTCTCTGAAGCCACTGTTGCATAAGGTGATTATTTAAATAAGCAACTTCCACATATATTGAACACTAAAACTCTTCTTTTATTTTTACCCAAGAGGTGTCAGTATTGGCTTTCTGTGTGGATACACATATTCACATGTATCACATATATTCCCTCAGTTTCTCCTGTAATGAAGTGATGTAAAGAACTTTGGAAAATCTGTGTCACAACACTGACAATCATGGCACTTAAAGAAGTTACTGCCGGGGTGAAGTTGCTCTTTTCCTGTAAAGTAGAAATAGTAAGTAGTTATTCAGAGTATGGGGAGCAATTTTACAATAGCCATTTTTTTGTCTTAGTGTTTGGATGAAACACTGTCAACATGTCAAACACAACATAATCAATAATCTCTGACTTTATTCTAGTCTTATGCTACTGTACCAGATGATGTTTTGTACTTGTGTTTTCAGTTTTGTCACCAATCTGTTCATTAAGTTACGGTACATTTAAAGGTGCGCAAAGAAACACTTGCACCTATTTACATCTTTCAGATTTTTTTCTGGTGCTTTTAATTTATTCAACAGAAATAAAACTGTGTATAAAAACCTGCTTTGTTTTACCACTCGATACAAACCTCCCTTGAAAAATGTGCAAGTCAATGTTGTCAGCCTCTTATTTCCAACAACAACAAGAATGATGCACTGGTTTACTTGAGCACTCTTCGAGTACACATGAAATCATTACATGCTGAAGTTCACACTATAATTAGTCTACTCCATGATCTGTGAGAGGTCTTTCACCTGAGTGCTACATTCTGATTCCCTGTGAATATAAAACCCCTCCTTGGACCTGCTGCCACCATTTGCCTGTTGTGCAGTGTGAACCCCTCCGAAGCCATGGCCATGCTCAGAGTGTCTTCTTACCGCAGACTGTTTGAGGAGGAGAACTGGAGTCGGAATGGAAGATTGGGTTGTGCAGGGCAGTACCGGGCCTCCGTCAGGTTAGTGGGGGTCTCTGGGGAGAGTTTGGGCTGCACTTAACCGATTTTAGGATATTGATGCTAGGATTATGTTTCTTACAATTTGATAAGAGTGCAATTAGAAATGGAAACACATTTCTGGAGGATGAGTTTCTGGGATGGGGAGCAGATCTTCCTGAGTAGTTATATTAAAAATAATCATGGAAAAAAGCAATTGTTTTCTGTGTTCATGTATGTGAAAAGTACAGCTTTAGTGCATTGTAAAATAATTACTCTTTAATATAGTGCGAGTTGAACCTTATTGTCTTTCTGTTCTCTACACATGGAAAGTGATGCTCTGTACTGTATGAGCTTTTGGACACACCGTCCCTGAAGGTGAATTACATTATCTCTTGAATCTTTAGATAAAAGTCAGGTCTCTGGTGCGTTCTCTTTTCAGGACTGCGGCTGTTGACAAGTGTGATTGTGACAAACTAGATTTTGTTGCTGCAAAGGCGCTCAACAAGGACGGCCTGAACCGATTCATCCAGGATCGCACCATCATCGCTGCCCTCAATGACCGCCTGGTCAGGCTTATTGAGCTGGTGAGGATAATCTGCTCCATATTACTCAGGAGAACTTTATTTTCCCTTTATTGGGTCACGACATTGTTCCTGGTGAATCTGGATATACGCAATATCTACCTGTCTGATTTTACATGTTCTAAATGTCTTTTAGGCTCATTGTTTTGAGGAGGAGAATGAGTCTCTTGAATGTCAGATTGTTGATCTAGAGGAGAAGCTAAACAGACGACCGGCCTCCTCCAGCATCACTTCTACGAGGTTTGAGCCCGACTACAGCCTGGATGCGGTGGTGGAGAGATTGCGCAGAGAGAGGGTAGGGTGTCACTGCTGCTGGGTGTGTCTGCTGCATGTTTGGCCATGTGTGTCACCTTCTTATATTTGGTTTTCTCATGGACGGTCCGTTGCACATCCCATCAATTTTACTTCAGTTTGCACAGTGACAGGCAGGCCTGATATATAACCTTGTCCAGATTCATCACTGTCTTTCACCACTGCAGGATGAGATTCTGTGTGAGACGGAGGAGCTACAGAAAGAGCTTGAACATTTGATGAAAGAGTACGAGAAGGCAGCACAGCAGAGAATCCTCCTTCAGCAGGGACGACAAGATGTTGCTGAGGTAATGGCTGAAAACATGGAAAGCATCCAATTAGTTACAGGAGGTCAGTGCAGAGGCCAGGATTAATACACACTTAGCATAACACTTCATGATAAAATAAATGAATGAAGCAAACTAAATCAAAGAACTGTATCTGTTAGGACCTTCAATCTTAGTGAAGCATTAAATTGCAGAACTTGAGTGAGATGTCACCTTTGTTATTTTTTCATCTTATACCATCATATAGTCTTATTTGCAATGCTGAATGCCAAATGGGCCTTTAAAGTATATACAACTCTACAACAAATAAACAAGAGACTGTAAAATACTCAACAATAAATCTCCTTTATAAATCAAATGGGCAACACAGATTCAAACCCAGCAAACAATATTAACTTCCTACAAAACATTTATCTTTAATCTATGACAAGACAAACAGCATATTTGATGGCCAAAGTGAAACTAAAGATGAATGTGTATGCGCTATTCTCTTCACACTTTATGTAAACATCGCGCTAGGGGGGGTCTCCTCTCTCCGTGACATGTCATTTTGACTGATGACTTTCAATTATTGAACCTATAGTGTGGCCAAACCAGAGGATTTCTTTTCACAACATAAAACATAGTTGCATATAATACTTCATATGGACACATTCAGAAAGGTTAGATGTACTTTATTTTAATTTTTTCTCAAAAAGCCATGAAGATAGGAGAGAATACTTAATCAAAATAGAAGAAGTAGCAGCAACAAGGATTGATTCTTTTTTTTTTGGTTACTTGTTAGGGTAAGATTTTGAAAACCCTTCATCCTTCATTTCCCAAAATGCAACCAGTCACACTTTTTAGTAGACCCTGCATACCTTGTTCTGTGTTGTTTCTTTTACTATTTGTGACTTTTATTATTATTATTTTAAAGCATATTCTAATGCTTTTTTAAAACATGATCAGACTCCATTGTTTAGTTGTGATAATTTACCTTCAGCACTAGATGGCAGTGTTGTCAAACCCTTCCCTGCTCCTCCCTCCTGAAACTGGCCACAGCTGCTCCTCTGGAGCTCCATCACCCAATGGGTGTTGATCACCAGCAGTCACACAGTCTGGGCTGTTTGCCTGCTGCAACCTGAGCCCACAAACTTTTTCTTTACCCCCAAAACTCCTCTCCTCCTCCTCCTCCTCCTCCTACTACTCCATCACACATGCCAGAGCCCAAACTCCAACCAGCCAGATGCGCAGGAGGCTTCAATTTCTCCCTTACAGATGTAACACAGTCTGTAATATGGTTCTGTAATGCTGGCTCAGTCCTCTGGTTCTGAATTGGAAGCAGCTGCAGGGTGACAAGACTTGGTGGGAAATCTGCAGGGAGGTAGAGGAAGAGCCAGGATGCAGAGGAGAGGAGCGACTACTAAACAGCTCAAGCCAAAACTAGCTGCAGTTTTCAACATAATGGCATACTGACAGTGATGAAACAAGGCATGTTTGGGTGTTTTTAGAGTAAACTGCTGGCTTTTGTGTGGCTTTTGGCTTTGCTCAATTTTCAGAACACCACAAATTCCCTTTCCCTTGTTACTATAATTTTTCTTTTACACTGGTCTGGTGTCTTTTGATGCGGCCATGTTTTGCATCACCAGACCATTTCTGTTCCTGTAAAACAGGCGAACAACTAAAACGAGTTTGACAATATTAACCTGAAATACAAATAGAAGGAAGTCGATTCCATTTATTAGAAAGAGGGGATGTTATTTACTTCTTGGCACCAATGGGATTCAGCAACAATTAATTTAGAATGACACTCTGTTTTTATTGCCACTGATTAATCAAGCCACACCCACCAACTCTTCAGGACGACAATTGGTATGGAATTTTAAGATCCCCCTGAGATGAAATGTCACGTTCTGCAGTGGAAAACAAAGTTCAGAAAAGTCATTTGAACCCAAAACCTGCCATGCAGTTGAAACACGGCTGTAGTGTTGTTGTGTTCACTATTTATCTTCAGCTGCCCCAAACTAGCAAAAAAAAACTATTTAGAGGTTTATGGCTGTTTCAATACCTCTTTATTATAAATTGATCATATCTCATTGTGTAATTTGATGGTTCTATTATTGTTTCCCCCTTAACGCATTTCTTTAGTGGCATTGTTTCTGTTCAGTCCAATATTTAGCAGCTATAGAAACAGATATTTCCCCCGGTCAGTGGAAGCTGTGTTGTGTTTACAGCTGTTGCCCTTAAGTGACCAAAATTCAAATAATAATAATAATAAAGCTTAAGTGTTTAAAAAGGAGATTAACAATGAGTTTATATCTATCTGCTTGCTGATATGTAAGTGCAGCAACAGTAGGACCAGACTACTTTTGCTGCCTGCTTTCCTTCAAAAAAAGCTCTACAGCTGCCCTCCCAGTAAGGATCCACAACTTCACCACCAAACCAACTCTGCATGTCTCCAAATGTAAAAGCAGGCACCCACAGTAATTGCATCCAGCACCAATTAATCTGGTTCTTCATAAAGAGAAGATAAGATGAGACCCCCTGCCGCCAAATGGATTGGTGGACGGGGCTTTTGTGTCTAGTTAGCCTCGTTCTGATCTTCCTCCACCTCCCCCTCTCCTCTGCATTGCGGTGTCTTTTTGCTGTTCAGTAAAACAGGTGGATGTGCTGGTGCTGATGCTTTTTGTTTTTTTTAATTGTTGTTCAGGGCGGAAACAAATACTTTTTCTACTTTTCCTTCACCTGCTGTGTGATTTAATTCCCAGACTGCAGTGTTCTCCTCAGAAATTAAAAGCAACGTTCTTTCCTTTCAGCCTTTTCCTCTATTAACTTTGTTTTCTCTGCAGAAAGTGGACACTGTGACAGCGGAGTGTTTGGCACTGAGGGAGCAAGTGGCTATCTATGAGGAGCAGCTGGCTAACATGGAGGCCCAGCATAGCACGGTGAGAGAGAGAGAGAGAGAGAGAGAGAGAGATGTATAGCTGCAGTGTGATGAAACAGGACGAATTTATAGCCCTGAAAATGGCTCAAAATGTAGCACTTAGGTCAGACAGGAGTGTTGGAGAGATGCCCAGACCTGGGGTGACAAACACAGCTGTGATGACCCCAGTCACCTTGCTGAAGAGCCAAAAACAGCCATTTCAACAGAAACATATGCTGAGCGGATTAAAGCCAAAGATATGCAATCTAATGAAAAGTGTAACAAGTGAATTCCTTATTCCAGAATCTAGAGCACAACAATATGCCTATTATCTGCTTCCTATCTGAGAGGAATAAAACATTCTTATAACATTCTGACATTTGTCCTTTGAATATAACGCTAGAGCTATCAGCCAATTATATTAGCACAATTATAACAAACAGCTAGCTTGGTCCTATCCAAGTGTAAAAAACCTACTTCCTTCTAACACACTTGAATCTAACGAAACAACATATTATAGCTTGGATATTGAATCTGGTAAGAAACTATGTTTAGAGCTACTGGT